GCTTCTGGATCGGCCTCACGGACCGGAATTCCGAGGGGGATTGGGAATGGATCGACGGCACCGACTACAAATCCACCTTCACGTCAGTGCGGGGCCCGCGCGGAGCCGGGACCGACCCCAAAACCCGGCCCCGATCCCGCTTTATCCCTCTCTTTCTCCCTGCTCTTCCCAGGTTCTGGAAGGAGGGGGAGCCCAACAACAGCGGGAATAACGAGGATTGTGCCCACGTCTGGATCGCGGGGAAGTGGAACGACGTTTACTGCACCTACGAGTGTTACTTCGTGTGCGAGAAGCCGCTGCCCCGCTGAGGGATCCGCCTCTTCCCCCCCCCTAATTTATGGAATCCCGGCCCGCGGCTCCCGCTTTTCCCGGGATTCGGGACGCGGTCGGGTGTCCCCGCGCCATAAAAGCGGGAATTCGGGGGCTCCCCGCGGAGCTCCGGCGAATAAAAGGGGGTTTTGTCCTTTTTGGGGGGGGTCTGGGAGGGGGTTTTGGGGCGGGGATCGGCGTCCCGAGGGAAAAACGGCGTTTTCCGAGCTTTTTCCTGTTTTTTTGGGGGGGTGTTTAGTTTGGATTCCCACGGGAGAATCACCTGGAATTTGGGTGTTTTAGGAGGGCGGTTCGGGTCCGTGCGGGGTCCGGGAGCCTGCGGGGATCAGGGAAAAGTGTCCTTCCCTTCCCTTCCCGCTTTTCCATCCTTTCCCCCAAAACCCGGCGTATTCCCGACTTTTCCCTGGATTTCCGGGTGGGGCGGTGGTCCCGAGGTTGGGGATGGGGGGAATGTCCCGCGTCCGCCCCGAACACGATCGTGCCGCGCTCGGGATCCTCTCCCGGGGCTCTCCCGGTGTCCCCGTCCCGGGTGTCCCCGTCCGATGTCTCCGTCCCGTGTCCCGGTGTCCCGGTGTCCCTGTTCCGGTGTCCCTGTCCCGTATCCCGGTATCCCGGTGTCCCTGTGTCCCTGTCCCGTGTCCCTGTCCCGTGTCCCGGTGTCCCGGTGTCCCTGTGTCCCTGTCCCGTGTCCCGGTGTCCCGGTAAGAGCCCACACGGAGGTGACGCCGGGGGTGACACCGGGACAGGCACCGGGGCGACCCCGGCAGCGACCCCCGACCCCGCGAGCGACCCCGTGTCCCACCCCGGGTCCCCTCGGGCCGCTGTGTCCGTCCCGACATGTCGCGACTCGGGGGAGGGGGCAGAACGGCGGGCGCGGCCCCCGGGGGGCTCCGGGGGGGGGAGCGGGAGGAGCCGCCGGGATTCGGTACCGGGAGCTCCGGGAGGAGGAGGAGGAGGAGGAAGAGGAGGAGGAGGAGGAGGAGGAGGAGGAGGAGGAGGAGGAGCGGGAGGAGCGGAGAGACCCCCGAGGCGGCGGGCGGGGGGTTTTTCCCGGTGCTCTCCCGGTCCGGTCCCGGTGTTTTTCCCGGCGATCTCCCCGGGCTGGTCCCGGTTCTCGCGCTCCTCTCCTGGTCCCATCCCGGTGTTTTTCCCGGTCCCATCCCGGTGTTTTTCCCGCTCCTCTCCCGGTCCCATCCCGGTGTTTTTCCCGGTGCTCTCCCGGTCTGCTCCCGGTCCTCACGGCTTCTCCCCCGATCCCATCCCGGTCCTCTCCCGGTGCTTCCCGCCCGGTGCTCCCACGATCCGGTCCCGGTTCTCCCCCGGTCCGATCCCGGTCTTATCCCGGCTCCTCTCCCGGTCCTATCCCGGTGTTCTCCCGGCTCCTCCCACTCCCCCCCCGGGTCCTCTCCCGCTCCCATCCCGGTGCTGTCCCCGCTCCTGCTCCTCCCGCAGCCGCCGGGATGAAGACGGAGGAGGCTCCGTCCTGTCTCCAGCAGGCGACGGCCGTCCTGGGATTCGGTGAGTGCCGGGAATACCGGGAACACCGGGAACACCGGGAATGGGGGCGCCGGGAGACCCCCAGCCCCGGCAGCATCCTCCTCCTCATGCTCATCCTCATCCCCATCCTCATCCTCATCCTCTTCCTCCTCCTCCTCCTTCCCGGCGTCTCCCCAAGTTCCAGCGGGAGCTCGGCCCTGCCCGCCCTTCCCGTTTTTCCCAAACCCGGCATTCCCGGCTCCTCGGCCGCTGGTTATTCCCTCCTTAGGAATATATTCCAACCTCTCCTGGATTTCTGGGATAACCAGGAGGCTCCCCCTTAGGGCAGTATCCCGACCCCCCGGATAAACCCCTTGGAATCGCGGTGTGTCCCGAACCCCTGGATAAATCCTTTGGAATCATAGTGTATCCCGAGCCCCTGGATCATCCCTCTGGAATCACAGTGTATCCCGACCCCCTGGAAAACCTTCTGGAGCCGTGGTGTGTCCTGACCCCCTGGATCATCCCTCTGGAATCACAGAGTGTCCCAAGGCTCTGGAAAACCCTCTGGAGCTGCGGTGTATCCCAAACTCCTGGATAAACCCTTTGGAATCACAGCGTATCCCGACCCTCTGGAAAACCCTCTGGAGCGGCGGTTTATCCCGATCCTTGCCTGATTCTGGGGCTTGGGATCCTTCCCCATCCCACCCCAAACGTGGAGTTCCCGTTTGGAGTAATTCGGGATAACACCGGGATGAGGCCCCCGAGCTGCCTCCCCCCCCCCCCAATTCCTGCCGGAATTTCGGGATCCTCTCCATGGCCCTTTTCCCATTTTCCATGGTTTACATTATTTACGGGTCCGAACCCGCCGCGTTTTCCCAATTCCCGGTATTTTCGGGAATTTTTTTTAGGGCGGAATCTCCTTTACTTTCAGTTTTGACTCTCTCTCCCGGGCGACTTTTCCCGGGATTTTTCCCATCCCCTTTTCCCCGGGATCGCTCCTGTTAATCCCGACCCGGAGCCGAGCAAGACTCGGCTGTTCCAGGCCCTTCTCCCGCATCCCAAATCCCGGGAATTCTCCCGCTGCCGGGGCCAGAGGGACCGAAATTCCCGGGGCTGGAGTTTGGTGCGTCTCCCTTTTATCCCGATCCCACATTCCCCACGATTTTTCTTCTCCCGGACCAATCCCCCATTGGATTATTCCCTGGTTTTCCCTCTAAATTAACCGGGAATCGGGAATTTTGAATCCCGGGCGCCTCCATCCCGCGGGAATTTCGGCCGATCCCGAGGGGTGAAAATGTTCGATGGGAGAAATTAATAAGGGAGGGGAAAATGAGGAATTTGGGATGGACGTGGGATCAATATCCATGGGGAAAAACCCCTGGGATGTGGCTCCGTGTTGCCTTCATGGAATTTGGGTCTGGAAAACCCAAATGATCCCAATTCGCTCCCAAAATGCGGCGCCGGGGTGAGGACACGGTTCCCTTGGAGCCGCGGGGCTTTTCCCGGGATTCCAAACGGCCCCGGGACTTCGGGAGAGATCAAATCCGACGGGAAAAGTGCTGGGAAAACTTCCCGCTGGCGGGCGATTCCCGATTCCCGGCGTTTCACCTCCCGACCCGCCTCGTCCCTCTCCCCAGCGCGGGTCTGAGGATCCGGGAATCCGGGATAATTCGGGATTTTGGGATCCTCATCCCCGACGGAGTTGGAAAAGCCGCTTCCCAGGGCCCGGGAGAGGAGCCCGGGAGGGCTGGGAAGGGCTTGGAATGTCCCTGGAGAAGCGGGGAATGGGGAAATCCCGTTTTTCTGGGGATGCGCCGGGTCGGGGCTCGGAATTCCGGCGCCCAAATTAAAGCCGGGTTCGGATTTCGGTGCCCGAATTAAACCCGGGTTTAGATTCCAGCGCCCAAAACCGAAGCCGGGCTCAGGTTTCAGCGCCCAAAATAAAGCTGGATCGGGAATTCTGGTGCCCGAATCAAATCTCGGCTCAGAATTCCAGTTACAACAAAAACCCCATATTAAAGCCGGGCTGAAAATTCAGCGCCCGAATCAAAAAACTCCCGAATTAAACCCGGTTTTAGGATTCCAGCGCCAGGATTAAAACCGGGCTCGGAATTCCAGCGCCCGAATTGGAAGCGCCCGAATTCCAAGCGCCCGAATCCAAGCCGGGTTTGGGATCCCGGTGCCTGATCCCGATCCGGGCTCATCGTTCCCTCTGATCCCCCTTCCCGGTTTTTTAAGGACGAGGAGCCTCGGAGGGATTGGGGGGGGGGGTCGGGCAGGTGTTTTTTTCCCGGGATTTGGGATTTGGATCGGGAAGGGGGGGGTTGGGCGGAGGTGCCGCCGCCTGGTCCGGCCCCTCCCCCCCGATCCAGAGCCCCGATAGGGAATTTTTTTTCCTCCCTTTTTTTTTTCCCTTCGTTTCGACCTCGAAGTGGCTCCTTTGAGGAGCCGCCAGAGATCCAAGGGGAGATAAAATCCAGGGAAAAAGAAACAACCAAAAACAATTCCCGAAGATCTGGAGCAGGAAGAGAAAAAGCCCCGAAATCCGGGATAAAACCGGACAAAATCCCGGCCCCCGGGATTGTGCCTCGGCCTGGGAAAGGTTCCCGGCATTCCCGGCATTCCCGGTCCCATGTCCCCTGGATTTGTTCTCCCGATCCCACAGGTTTTCCAAGCCCTCCGGGGGTTTGTGCAGCACCAGAATTCAGGGAATTTGCCCCTGGGAAGTGCCCCGGGATGGGCGGGAGCCCCCCGGGCCATGGAAGGTGTCCCTGCCTTTGGAATTCGGTGGGATAATGGGATGATCCTTAAGGTCCCTTCTCACCCAGAGCATCCCAGGATTCCAGGATTCTGCTCCGGGGACAGGCTGGGAGAGCTGGGAATGTTCCCCTGGAGCGGGGAGGGATCCAGGGAGAGCTTCCAGCACATTCCAGGGGCTCCGGGAGAGCTGGAGAGGGACCTGGGAGAAGGGATGGAGGGACGGGACACAGGGAATGGCTTCCCACTGGGAAAGGGGGATTGAGGTGGAATTTGGGAAGGAATCCTTGGCTGGGAGGGCGGGGAGGGAACGGGATGGAATTCCCGGAGAAGCTGCGGCTGCCCCATCCCGGGAAGTGCCCAAGGCCAGGCTGGATCCACCTGAGCCATGGGAGGTGTCCCTGCTTTTGGAATTCGGTGGGATAATGGGATGATTTAAGGTCCCTTCCCACCCAAACCGCTCCACAATTCCACGAAACACATCCAAGCCGCTCCCCGCATCCCGGCTCTCCGCCCATTCCCGGTTTTCCCTCACCTTCACTGTCGTCGTTGCTCTGCCGGCTGCTCCTGCCGGTCCCTCTCCCGCCTCCCAGCCGGGCATTCCCGAGCTGCTCCTGCTCCTGCTGCTGCTGCTGCTGCTGCTGCCTCCGGGCGATTTTCTTCATCTGGGAAAACACACGGACGCGCCGGGAATTCCGGCCCTCGGAGCTCCGGCTGGGGGTTAAATCCCACCCCCGGAACGGGATCCCTTCCCTCACCTTGGCCCGTTGGTTCTGGAACCACACCTGGACCACGCGCACGGTCAGTCCCGTCTCCGCCGCCAGCGTCTCCCTCACCTGCCCATGGAAAAGGGATAAATCCGGATTAAATCCCTCTGGGAAGGATCCCAGTGGTGGTCGGGCTTCGAGAAGAGCTCAGTTGGGATTAAATCCCTCTGGGAAGGATCCCAGTGGTGATTGGGCTCTGAGAAGAGCTCAGTCGGGATTAAATCCCACCGGGAACGATCCAAACCGACGGCTGGGCTCCAAACTGAGCTGGGTGGGACTCGGATCCCGGCGGGAAGGATCCCGGCGGGATTGGGGCGCCGGTACCTTTCTGCAGGGCTTGGAGGACACCTCGAAGGAGGCCTTGAAGGCGCGGCGCTGTTGGGTGGTGAGGATGGTGCGTGGCCGCTTGGAGCGTTTGTGGTCTTTGCCGTCGTCGCCGCCTTTGCCCTGGGAGTGGGCGCCGTCCTCGTCCTCGCTTTTCACTGCCGGGGAAGGGCCGAGTCGGGAATCGGGACAGGGATTCAGCCCTGGGAGTGCTCAGGGACGACTGGGACGGGGCTCAGAGTTGGGAATCGGGACAAGGATCCGTCCCTGGGAGAGCTCAGGGATGGGTGGGACGGGGCTCGGAATTGGGAATTGGGACAAGGATCCGTCCCTGGGAGAGCTCAGGGATGGGTGGGACGGGGCTCGGAGTCAGGGAATTGGGACAGGGATTCAGCCCTGGGAGTGCTCAGGGACGACTGGGACGGGGCTCAGAGTTGGGAATCGGGACAAGGATCCATCCCTGGGAGAGCTCAGGGATGGGTGGGATGGGGCTCGGAATCAGGGAATCGGGACAGGGATTCAGCCCTGGGAGGGCTCAGGGATGGCTGGGACGGGGCTCGGAGCCACCTGGGCCATGGAAGGGGTCCCTGCCCTTGGAATGAGGTGGGATGGGAGGAGCTCTGGGGTCCCTCCCAACCCAATCCACCCAACCCAACCAACCCAATGCAACTCAACCCAACAGAACCCAACCAACTCAACCCAGTGCAACTCAACCCAACTAACCCAACCCAACCACCCAACTCAACCCAACCCAACCAACCCAACTAACCCAACCAACCCACCCCACACCACCTCCTCCCCTCCCCCCCCCCCTTCTCCCCCCCCACCCCGGCTCCGTCCCGGCCCCGCGCCGGCCCCTCACCGGACTCGGTGGGCGCGGGGCTGATGGCGCTGAGCATCTCCTTCTCCTTCTCGTAGTCGGAGCGGCAGAGCAGCTGCCCCTCCTTGAGCACGAACTCGTCCCCGCGCTGCAGCCGCCGCTCGCACTCGCAGCACGAGAAGCACTGCACGTGGTAGACGTTCTCCAGCACCCGCATGATCAGCTCCGACGGCCCGATGGCCTTCAGGCAGCTGCTGCACTTGGTCTGGAACAGCCTGAGGGGGGGGAAACGCGGGATTTGGGATGCCCGGGCGGGATCTGGGACACCTGGGCGGGATCTGGGATGCGCGGGAAGGGAAATCGGGCCCGGAGAGAGTTCCGGAGGTGTCGAGGTTGGGAACGAGGTCGGAGATGGTCCCATTGAACCATCGACCCAACGCCGACTGATCCGTGTCCTCCAGTGCCACTTCCAAGGGTTTCTTGGGCGCTTCCAAGGATCTCGGCTCCCCCCGTTTCCCGGGAATGTTCCAACCCTTTCCATGAAGGAATTTTTCCCAGTATCCCACCCGAACCTTCCCCGGGCCGTTTCCTCCCGTCCTGTCACTTGGGAGAAGATTCCAACCCCCCCTGGGACCAACCTCCTTCCAGGGAATCACTGGGAATGGTTGGAGAGAGGGAAAGGGATTGGGAAGCCACGGGAAGAGCGAATGGTCCATTTGGGAGCTTCTCCAGGAGGAAGCACACATTCCCAACTGGATTTGGGGGCTTTGAGAGGATTTTAGGGACCTTTCCAGGACGATCCCAGGGATTTTTAGGGACCTCTCCAGGACTGTGAGAGGATTTTTGGGGACCTCTCCATGACCGAGAGAGGATTTTTGGGACCCCTCCCCGACGATCCCAGGTTTTTTTTCCGGGATGTTTGTGTCCGGAGGGAGGAGCAGCTGGTCCTGCCGAGGTGATTTTGGGATGTGAGCGATCTCCCGGCTCCCCCCGGGGCCGCTGGGCGCGGGAAAAGCAATAAAATGGGGATTAATTAGGCCCCTGTTTAAACAGAGGCAGCTCATAAACCGGGATTAGGGACGAGCCGCGCTTGAGCCTCCCGGGAAACTCGGCCCGGCAGCGGGAGGGGGCGAATCCCACCTGGATTTGGGATGGAGGGGCCGCTCCGGGGGGGATTCGGGGCCCCTTTTGTCTGAGTCGCACTTGGAAAACAGTCCTGGAGTTGGGAGGGGGGAGGAAAAACTGGGAAGAGGAGCAGCTTTTTAGGGAAAATCGGCTCTTGGGAGGCCGAAAATGATGGGCTGAGGATTCATTTGTTTTGTTACTCTATTTCTGTGATTCTCTGATTTTTATTGTCTTATTTCTATTATTTCTGTCATTCTATTATTTTATTTTTCTAGTATTTTTATTTTTCTATTTTTTTATTGTTCTATTATTTTTATTTTTCTATTATTTTCATTATCCTCTTATTTTTATGATTCTATTTTTTTATTATTCAATTATTTCATTATCCCATTATTTCTATTGTCTTATTCCTAATATTCCATTATTTCTATGATTCCATTATTCCCATTATCCCTATTATTTTAATATGTCT